TAGTACAGCATTATTGATCTGGATATTCTTGTAATGAGGGTTATGTCGCTTCAACCAGATGAGAGCATTTCGAACCTTCTCTTTGCGAACAATCAAAGGTTGTGCTTTTGTTTTGAGCCAATCCTGAGATGGAGGTGATGCTCCTACAAACAAGACACAGATTGGAGTGATGATATCATCTAAAGAAGGAGGCAATGTTTGAGCAATATAGTCAGGTCTCTGGGGGTATATTATGATGTGGCCACGCATACCACGCTGCATTGTTGGAATGGAAGGTTGTGTGAAATCTTGCCTCACATCCGATGACTGTGAATCATTGTCTCGCAAATGAATGACCCAACATTTCGCTCTGCAGCGTGCAATCATCGCTTCTTCCACTACAGTCAAATCTTTCAAGGCATCAGGAACAGGGCCAAGAAACGTACGGTTAGCCAAGGAGAGGGCAGGGATATTTCCTTTTAATAGCGCTGTTTTACACTCCTGGCAAAGCATTAAGGATGGTGCCTGATTTTCATGGTTCAGTACACCAGCCTGCTCAAGTAGAGTGTCTTTTAATGGACCATTTTCAAATGGTAGATGTGGAGGTGTGCAACTTGGATCAAGCCACTGAGAACCATTGCTGTCTGGACGTCGTAGGAGGTCCATGTCAATATCGGCTGTGGATAAAATGGTCCGATCTTTGATGCCATAACTTCCTGCACAGCTGGCACACGTGAATTCCATCAAGGCATCTCGGGAGGTGGCTTGACGAAAAAGGTGCACAATTTTGTCCTTGAGAGACTGCGGGATACACACTGAGGCCAATTACGCCGTACATTATCCAACTTTTCCTCAACTTCTTTCTTTTTCGTGACTCTTGTCCGCCTGATATTGATACTCCTATCCATAGATCTTTTCCCTTTTCGCAATGAGCTGATGTAGTGTCGGAGTAGGCGATGTAGGTGGCTTAAACTGTCCTCAGATTTGTATTCTATATCGTGAAGTTGTAGAATACGCTCCAGCGGCTTACGTTTTACACGCTTCACAATACGAGATAAGAGTTCTATCTGTAGGGATATTGTCGAGTCATCCGACGAAGAGGAGCACTGCTGGACCACTTCATTGCAGCCAGAATCAGAAAGATTGGAATGATTAGCACATGCTCCTGAACCGATATGCTCAACAATCCTATTCCGTAGTTCCTCTGATGTGGCTCGAGATGGGATTCCCGCTACCGTAGGTAGTGGGTCTTGGGCCCCCCGGCCGTTCACAGGTTTCCTGCGATCGTTTCAAGATCTACGCGATTTATTTGACACTATTTGGCGCTTAACCGTATATGGTGAACGGCAAGAGCGGGACAGGGCTTTGGACCAATCAAAGGTGGGGTCCTTAAAGGACCCCGATAGTCATGCCACGTGTCATTCTCTTGCCCTTTATAGCCAAGGCGGCGGATGATTGTCAATGGACTCAGAGACAGAACTGACCTTGCTCGGGGCCTTGGACCTTGCGGTCTCAAGGTGAAATCAGAATACTCCGATGTCAGTTGTTTTGCATATGTAACTTGTATTCTCGAAACCTGAGGGAGGGATGAGTGGACATCTCTCAGGACCCCAGGCCATTGAGTTGAATGCTCAGTCAGAAATAATTGCTGGAACACAGCTACTTTCGCAAAATAGATATAATGACACTGCTCAGGATGTAAAGTGTTCAGCTTGCTACCAAATATCATCTACATCTACGGTAGCGGGCTCTGCCGTGCTCGCACAGCCCTACCGCCTTATTTGAATGTTGTGTGCGGAAGCCAAAGTGACAAGGCATGCGCGTGGCAAACGTTCAAAGCCATCAAAGATGGAGTCGATGGATAGCTCTTTCTCTGATTGAAGCTGATCAATTCGAGCCTGTAGTTGACGCATAAGAGAACGTCGAGAGGTCTTCGCATGCGAAGATTCTAATCCGAGTGATGAGCAAATAGCCCGAAGGTGCTCTAATGAAACTTCATTTTCTGTGAGGGCTCGTAGCACAGATGCACTTATAGCAATCGATAACTTTCGAGCATCAGAGCATGTTCCAGCCAAAGCACAACATCCATTCATAGAGCATGGTGATTTACTACTACACGGATTGGATAGAACATGCGAGCTACAACAACCATTGAGCAAATGATTCAATAGAGCTTCTCGACACTGCACAGGCGAAAGTGAGCGCGACAACACACTGTGAGCTGCTAAGATAGGCTCCAGCTTGTCTCGGGACCCAAGGATCAGGGAGGAGTTCAATATTGTGTTTGTAGCAATACTGATATCAGGCAAGCATGAGGAAGATGTTGACGCACTGTCACTGCCAAAGTTGCCGTTAAAACTGCTCTGATCGGGTGCCACAGCATGCGTTCCAGGCGAGGCACAAGCTAGAGTAAAAAATCAATAACACCTAACAGAAGGCATAGGGGACAAATATCACACCTGCATGGGTACCGTTATCCGCACGTTCATTTGACACCGCTGATGGAATGCTTTGCGGTGCCGGAACTATAATCAGGTCAAT